GAAGAAAAGTGAGAGAAAGGAGAAGGAATAGAAGAGAAACAGGAGAACACAAGGGGTTGAAAGGAGGGACAGATTCTAACAGATCTGCCGCCGCCACTCTCTTATTATTTATAGGTAATGTTCAGTACATAATGGAAAGGACACATTTGCCCTTAGTACTTACATGATAAATAAAGCAAATAAAAACTGAGTTAACAAACTGACTCAAAACTGACACTACTATAACTGAAACAAATAACTACACATGCTGTCCTACGAACACAGTGAGGACCACTGCAGTGGGGCCCACATCAGTGTTCTCTACACTGTCTATCAAAGTTTAGTTTTGCTCATCAAACAAGATTGTTCACTTACTAGTTATTAACTGATCATAGAAAAAGAAAACACATTGTTATATGATAAATATGTGTATTTTTTTTAAGGATAAAGGTAATGTAAGTTTATTCATAATAAGCGAAAGAAGGCTGCAATTCAGACCCAAGAAGGCAGTCTGAAAAGCAACCAAAATTACAACCTCCACCAGGAGCAAGACTGAAACAAAACAGACATACTAAGATCTCTGAATTCCCCAGATATAGAAATCCAAGAGATCAATTTGCCCACAGCTCTCTGAATTACATGATCAACATCCTTGTACCTATTACAAAAGATTCTAAAAGAATACACATATGATAAATATGTGTATAAGTGGGTTACCATCTTTACCGCTTGTCAATATTTTCTGATTTCTCACCACTTGCAGTTGAGTAGATTCATTTAATTCTCCCCTTTTACACATGTGTTAGGGATTGGTTTTACTCTCCATTGAAAAAATTCCTCCATCTCCATCATGAGGATCTTTCAAATGGAAGTCCAATTCAATGTTTAGTCTCGTTGCTTGGAGCCAAGGTTCTTCAGGAGAGTCATTTCACATGTTACTTGTTCTCATGTGATAGCCGAAAGCTGCTAAGGTTTCAATAGAGACTAAATAATAAATGAGAGGCCTTAACTAGTTTATATCCGCTAACTGTTGCTAAATTCCAAATCTGATCAATCATCAAAAAGGTGAATCACATTTTTCTACTGCGGCTGTTTCATGATATCTATTTCATTTTTAATTTGTATACCTTTTAGGTCTTCAATTCCTAGTCTTAATGATTGTTGTAAATGTGTGAGCCAAGATTTAATTTGCCAAAGGTATTATGGAATTGTAAAACGGATTCTTCTTAATATTAAAAGAACAAATACAGACATGAGAGAGAGAGAGAGAGAAATTCTCAAATCTCGATTGCATATGTCAAATGTAACAACTCAAACATGAAAACAAGACTAAGCATACCTCCATAAGCTCAGCTTTGGCAGCATCAACGCCCTCCACATCATCAAAGTTCACAGTCTGATTACTGGGGCGCCGCTTTTTTGCAGGGCTATTGGCAGCAGAAAGTTGACGATACAACAACCACATCAAAGGAGTTAAAGGAATCCACAAAGACAAGACAGTTATCAATATATTCCTTATAGACATAAGAACTGATTGAGGAGCAGAACTATAAATAGTTCCCTTCTCTCTCATCAAACTTAGAAGAAAGTTCTCATCATGATCTATCTTTCTTGTTGAACACTGCCACTCCTGAGTAGAATCTCTGGCTTTGGGTCTTGAAAATTTTTGCAACACACTCAAACCCATTCTTGGGCGAGTTTTGACACTGTCTTCCCCATTAACTGCAGCAGCCACACTTTCACTTGGAATATCTCCTGAAGATGACTGATTTTCCAGCAAATGAATATTCTCTGGACTCTGAGATTTAATGTTGTAGAATATACGACGAGATCCCTCTTCGAAAAGAACCTTTGATACTGTCCCACTTTGAAGATTCGTTATTAAGTCTGAATATGGAACTATCTTTGGAGATGGCACCGCTGTTAACTTTAGAAACAAGTAGCATAAACCCAGGACGATAGATATGGTAATGGAAAGCGTCACGCCTTTCAAGTTCTTACGCAAAAATGTCCCGAACTTCCCAGACATCGCCCAGACCGAAGCATTTCTCAATCTTCTCGATAACAAGCGCAATCTCGGGCGCAATCTCAATGAGAACCGCTTTCTAGTGTCGTTATTTTCTCTTTTCCCCAAATGAATGCGTTCCTTTCCACTGCCGGTATTGATCTGTAACCTAATGCTCCTGCTACGCGGCAACCCATCTCGAGAATTATAGCAACAGTGACCAACAAATGAAGATAAAGACGGCGAACAAAAGCAGGAAAGACAAACCGAAGCACAACAATTTCTGTATCTCCCTAAAGACTGTTCATTTCCGAAATGAACTCTCAAGTTTTCTCCGTTACATAAAAGCATTGATTGATTGAAAGAAGGAACCTTAGTGCCCATTCCACCGTAATTGGAAATAACGGAAAAATGAGCCATTTTGTCTTTAAAAAGAATTAGAATGGCAATTACTTAAATTCCTCCATAAAATCAAAATTCGATCCTTTCACCATAAGATGATTAGTCTTATGATTCTTATCTATTTAATTAAGGAGAATCAGTAATACTGAATCGATATGACGCCTTACTGAATAAAAAACCTCACCTACTTTGGAGGAACTGAGGGACTGAATGAATTCGAACTTTGAAGAAGCAGCAAGTTGTTTATTCATTGCATCATGAAAATTGAAACCAGGAGGTAGGCTTTCTTCGTTTAATCCAGAAAGCAAGTGAAGCTCGAATAGTACTTGATTTCTAGCAGAGGATTTTCTGAGGTTTCTTGTCCTCACTCTCGGTTCTCGCGGCTTATCCAGAACCAGAAAGGCTTTTGAGGAAGAACTTGAAAGTTGAAACTAACTGCATTGGATCTTTTATGGTGGGACTTGGAAGAACTATCAAGCACTGAATGCAATGCGCTGCAGACAAGATGGGCCTCAAAAAACATTCTAAACACAAGATCTTATGGGCCCCACTAGCGCACTGAATTGCATCTTTGATGCATGCTATTGTATCATTTTCCACAAGGCATTGTTTGGTAACCGGATATTTAACGCGTTTTAAGGGATTAATTCATCATTTCATCAATGTGTGGTGTAATGGCTTTTTCTTTTAGGTAGGAAATGGCAAGCGGGCGAGAAACATACTCCCCATCCCCAATCGTAGATTGAGACGGATTTCCCTGTTTGGGGACCTGAAAGACTTTTAAATTAAGGGTCCGTTTGGTTTATAGGAACAGGGGTCTGGAATCGGAATTAGAAAGAGCTATTCCAATTCCAACTGTTTGGTTGGGCAGAATCGGAATCTCATTCCCATTTATGCTGGAATGACATTCCCCCATTTGAAGGAATGACCATTCCCTGCCCCTCCCTTGGGAATGAAATCCCATTCTTGTTGATTTTAATTCCCATTTCTGTCTGAACCAAACAAACTATAAGAATGGACCATTTCGATTTTGATTATGGAGGATTTCGATTCTGATTCCGACTATGAACCAAACAGACTCTAAAAGCTTTTTGGAAAATAAATTTATTTAAGGGGAATCTTTATATGTGTGTGTGTGTGTGATGGGTAGGATGGGGCAAAAAATCCACTCTCATCCTCAGTTGATAGTCATTATCAATACCCATCCCCACCAAAACAACCTTCATCCCTGGACTAATGGAAAAATTACCATCCCTCTATTGTATTAAGAGGGTGCTTAGCACCATCCACCAGGATTTTCAAAATTATGTATTTACATTTTAGGCTTCATTTGGCATTCCTTATTTTAAGGACTTATCTCCTTTTTAAAGTTAAAAACTCGGTTTCATTAGAGCATTTTAATTGTAAAAAAGAGATAAATCCTTAAAATAAGGAATGCCAAATGCAACCTTAACAACTATCCATATATAAGTTTCAAAGCAACCATAAGAAGATAGAGTGAACAAAAAGATAGTGGTCACAAACTACAACTGCCTTTTTTGCATCATGAGGGGAGTCACAGACCAAGGGGGAGCTTGTACACACATACATGCGGTGGGACTTACACGAGCTAATTAAACACCACTTGCAGCACAAAAATCTTAATCTATTAGATTATAGGTCATTCCTTGTATATAAATCTATTGCACTTCTTGTATGTTTCTAACATGAAGTCATTTTCATTCATTATAAATCACATATGTATCAACATATAAACTTTAGGACCGTATTTGATTTTGATAGAAACTAAGAAAAACAAAAATCTCATAATTCTACTTAGGACCTTGAATAATAACTTGAAGCCAAATCTAACAATTCTACTTGTATAACAAGGGAGACTACATCCTTTTTGCTTACTGCTGCACCACCAGCTGCAAATGAAAGGCCTCCTAACGACACCATAACTCTCCGGTTCTTGGATCATATTTCATTAACATCCCAATCTTATTAGGATATCAGAGCCGGCCATGTATTCCCAGAAATATTACTGACTTGCATAACCACATTCTTGGGAGTTGGGAGTTGGGAAGCAATGAGAATGACTAGTAAATTCTATTCAAGATTCAAAATCAGTTACAACTTATAAACCGATTCTTAATTAATTATCTAATTAACTTCATTCATGGAAATTAGAATTCCTTGGTCCCAACACTACAACTCCCTAATAGGAATGTGCGATGTAGACATCACCAACTGTCTCATGGAAGAATACCCATATGGTAATTGTAGGAATGGCAACGGGGCAGGGTGGGGACGGGGAGCCTCTCCCCATCCCCATTCCCGCAAAAATCTCCATTCCCGTTACCGTCCCTATCCTCACTAACAGGGACAAGGTTATTCCCATCCCTGCAGGGATTCCCATTCCCCGTAATTTTTTATAATGTTAATAAATTTGTTTTTGTTTTTTATTTTATTTTATTTAAAAATAAAAATAAAATAAAATAAAATAATTAAAATTTACAATCTATTAAAAAAGATTCAGACATATTCAACCATATTTTTAAAATATTAATATATAGACGTATGTGTATATATATACATATATAATGTATGCATATATATACATATATTAGTGGGGATCCCATGGGCGGGGATTGGGGTCCTGCGGAGCGGTGAGTGCTCTCCCCGTCCCCACTAACGAGGATGAAAATTTCCCCATCCCCGTCCTTGCGAGGGGGAAATCATCCCCATCCCCACAGATCCCTACGAGGATCGGGGAAATGGGGAAATTGCCATCCCTAGGCAATTGTCTCTCCCCGTTCCGATGTAGAGTGCTAGAGACATTATTTGGTCGAACCGTTTGGCCCAAGAACCGTCCAGGCAATCGGTTCTGTTTTACTCTAAATCTGGTCTCTGGCAAAAAACCGTTGAATCGGTCAATAACTAGTTGACCTAGGTGGTCAAGTCGTCAACCTGTTCAACTGTTTTGGCCATTTTTTAAATTTTTGTTGTTAGAACAGGCTGCCCATTTGAACCGGACAGTCAAACCATTAACCAAAAAACCGATGGCCATAACGGTTCTATTTCCATGTCATTTTTTAAAACCATGGCCATTACACAAACTTCCTTGCGCTCGAGCCATTACACACATTAATATTACATAGTTACATACATCCTCAGTTTAATTTGCTAGTTTTCCCATCCATCAACCCTTTTCACTTGGGCATTTTTATGGTACTAGTAATTAAGTATGTGCGTTGTACATATTAATTTTTTTTCATGTTAATTAGTTGAACTTTAAATATATCATAGTTAGGATAGAAATTGAAAATTAATAAAATTAGCAATATGGTTAAAAATAAACTTAAATACTTGTACTAAATGTGCACCGATAGAAGTTTAAATTACAATTATTATTATTATTATTATTATTATTATTATTATAATTATAATAATAATTATTATTATTATTACTACTACTACTACTACAACAACTACTACTACTACTACTAAATTTTGAATTCCATTTCTATCTTAAATAAAAAAAATATTTTAACAATTATTTTTATTTAATATGATGATTATATAACATTAGGAATGTTCCAAAATGTCTTTAACAAAACTATATACTTTTTTATCTTTTGTGTTCTATCTTTTTTTAACTATTTATAATTCAATTATGACATCATGAATTTCTTTAAAAAGTTAGACCATTGACCCACCATTTAAATAAGAAAATAGCTTTGCTTTCGGATCAATTTTAAATTATATATTTCATTTACATTATATACATAATTTTTAACCATCACATTTATTTTTTTGACATAATTAATATATAATTTTTATATATTCTTTTGATTACTTGTACTTTTTATTATTATTTAAATATTATATCATCGATTAATCCATTTGACCCAAACCACTAACCCATGACCTAAAAAGAAAAATAGTTTGATTTCTAGGTTGACATTATATTTTGTATTACATTTCCATTATTACAAAATCGTATCTTATGTATAACATTTATTTTTGTTCAATATAATGAATGTATAATATTATATATGTATCCAATATTTTATTTTTTATAAATATATAATATTATATCTTATGTATAATATTTATTTTATTATTTGACTATGACATTATTTCATTTTTAGGTTGATTTTAATTTTGTCATTCCACTTTCATAATTTACAAAAATACCTTTTACATTTCATACTTATTTTTGTTCAATATAATGAATATAAAATATTAATGACATGCACAGTTCTTTTTATTTTTTATATTATATATTTTATATATTTTAATTTTTTATTTAATTATAGCATTATTTATTAACGGATTTGACCACAAATGGTTGAATTGCTTACTCATCACCGAGAGGGAAGAAAATGGTTTTGTTTTCAAATTATTTTTCAAAATATGTATTTTATATTATTAAAATTAATGTTGTGAATTTAACTAGTACAATTTAATGATGAGAAAAATATATCTTAAATATAGGATTTAATAAGGGAATATACCTTAAATATGAGATTTAATGAGAGATAATAGGAAAATAGTTTTACTTCCAATTGGTTTTAAATTTTACATCTCCTTTCCATCATTAATAAAAACATTTCTTATTCATCATCTATGTTTTTGACTTGTTGTTGACTTGGCCAATTGAACTGTTCAAACCGTCACTTGGCCTTGATTATAGGTTTGGTTCTATTGAAACTCCCCCTTTTGGTTAAAAACCATCTAACTTGGGTGGTTCAACCATTGACCCGTTCACCCCAGTAACCAAGTCGTAGGTTGTGTGCTTAATTATGTGCAAACTTTTGGGAGCCATAACTTTGCATTCCGATGTTTGATTGGGGTTATCATTTTTTTTTTAATAACTTTTCAAGATCTATACATCCCAAAGGCATTATGCACCTTGCCTTGCTATTTTCACGAAAAAAAAACCTTTTTTGGCCCCATATTGCAATTTTTAATATTTTTATAAATAAAGAATTTAAAACATAATTAAAAAACATAAATAAATGTAACATAATAGATATGTTATATGTAATATATGTAAAACATAATTGTACTATTTATTGATAAAATATATATTCTACACACACACACAGTGTTGGCACAGAGCAATTTGACTCATTTGACCTTAACAGTCGAACTGGTGACCCGAAAGCAAAAGCGGGTCAGCCACCGGGTTGGTTTTTAAAACATTGTTTATCATACTTATTACTGTTTAATATGTCAAATATATGATGTTAAAAATGTTCCCATTTTTTTAATTTCATATTTTTTGCATTTTATATATTTTTTAATTTTATTATTTAATTGTGGCAACATGGACTGGCCCATTCAAGGTAGATTTTAAAAGTATAAGTTTTTAAGTTATTGAAATTATTAATTTATCATGTATGTATTTAATTATATAGAATTTAATGATGAGAAGAA